GCATTGTCGGAGCGTATCGATGTCCTTGGCGGTGCGTTGAACCTTTTGCATTGCTTACGTGTTGCCTTGGAATGGCCTGCACAGAGTTGGGTGGCAATTTGGATAGGAGGGGGTGTGTGTGTGTGTGTGTTTTTGCTGCACCTGCGCAGTGGCAACTTGGCAGCCGAAAACTTGGACAACGCTCGAATCGTTGCGGCAGGTCAGTTGCCAGTTGGCAGCGAGCTTTTCCTGACCTGACCTACCCCAGTTGCTGTTGGCTTGTGCAGGCGCTGCAAAGTCGCGTCACCTTGCCAGCAGTGCCTCTTCGCTGCCCCCTCTCCACCCGAAATAACTGCCCGAAAACCCACCCAAACAACACACCCCCCTTTGTCAGTCCCCTTTTGTACGACTACTACTGCTGCCGCTGCTGCTGATGTTGCTGCTGCTGCTGCTGCATCTGCAGCTGCATGTATATGTGTTTGTTTTGCGCCCAAGTGCAAGTTCAATCTATAAATTTGAACGGATTCTGCTCTCGGCCCCGACCCTGCCCTCCCGTCCAGCCCGGACCAGCGGCTGCAGCCTCCCTAGCCGACCCCCACCCCCCCTTTCGCCGCCACATCCCTTGCAGCGGCGTGTCCTTGCCAAATTGTAAAGTTCATGCCACGCAGGGAGGAGCAAACGTCCTGTATATATGGTATATTCATGCACATAGATTATATTTCATTGCCTTTTGTTAAGTGGTTAAGTTGGGTGCCCACCCCACTACCCGTTATGTAAATCAAAATGCGACTATTTAAACAGATTCCAGATTGGAAAACAGTGAACATGAACAGTGATTATAGGAAGCTATGGCAGTTACACTATTTCGATTGCCTTTGAACTTAAAACTGATTTTAGTTTGATTTACTTTTCATGGTTTTACTCATACAAAACTTTGATTATGCAGAAACTTAAGGGGAATACTTAATTATTTTATGATTAGAGGTGTTAATTAAGCAACTATTATTCACTTTAAGGCCTCCTGAGGGTTAAACTCTTTCCTTTTGGGGTGAAAATGCTGGCTCTAGTCTAGATTGACAAAACTGAAACTGCAAGAAATCCAAGTAAAATGCAATTTTTAACAGCTTAGAAATGAAGAACCAAGAGTTGAGTCGGAGAGCTGACCTTTAACTTGGCTTTATCCCCATTTGTTCCTCTTTGCATTCCCCTCCCCATTCACCAGTCGAAGGTCAACATCTCGCACGCAGCTAAATAAGAAACAGGGAACACATAACTGGGAACGAGATCAAGATCAAGATTCGAAGCCAATCAAGTTAAAATTCTTGCGGGGATTTGTCTAGCCGGGCAGTTGGCTAGGTCTAGGCCATAGTTACTACGAAAGAGCCATAGTAGCAGCCACGATCTGGCACAGCAAGAAAAGGCTAAGTCTTTTTGGTTACTTTTAATATTTTTATGAATATTTTACCACTTTGTTAAGCTTGCTAACTTGGCTTAAAGTTGACTTTATCTTTGTTAACTGAAAATCCAGACACATTTTCTTTCTGTGCATCCCAGAGGCTTGCCTTTCGCCAGCTGTTGTTCTTGGGCGGCTTTTGTCTACCTGTCTGGCATTCCCGCCGTAAATATCAGTTTCCCACTCGACCGTTAGCTGCCCCTCTGAACAGCCCCCTCCCCCCTTTCCATCTAGCTTGCAGCTCTCCGGTTCGATGTTAAGTTCAATGCTGAAATTAGCATAAACTACCGTTAATTGCATTAGCATTAGTCTGGCCCGGAATCGCCCCCGTCGTCTCCCCTCTACAGCTATATATACTCGGTATATATACTCCCCCGATCTGCGATCACCAACGATCTCTGATCACCGATCTCTGTTCTCTGTTCTCGGCAGTCGATTGCACTTTTTATGGCGCATTCTTGGCGCATATGTCACGGCATCGGCGACAGCAGTTATCCTTGAGCAGCAGCAGCAGCAGCCACCGACATTGCATTGCGCATACGCTCCGTTGGCTGACAGATCAACTGCGGTTTCCAGGTATTTACCTGCCACGCGGTTAAGTTCATAACAAAAAGTTAAAAACAGAGAAGTGAATTTATATTCAAATTTTCATTCATTGGGAAATCTTTTTTTTATTTTTTTGGTTTTTTTGATCGAATGAGAGGTACTTAGTAAGGCTAAAAGGAAAGTGATTAAAGATCATGAAGATAGGAACATATATCTAATGCTAACCCTTATGCCTAATAATTCTGGTATACCCCAACTAACTCTATCGATTGGCTATCATAAAATATGGTTATGGTTCCCGTTCTTGTTGTTGGCGCTGGGAGGTAGTTCCGTTATGCGCAGTTTAAGACAAACATAAGTAACAACGCAGATCGGAGTGCTAGTAGATATATATAGATATATATACTATATATCCAAGTTTACTTAACATTGACACTGCTTAAGCGAGGCACTTTAGCCCTGACCAGAGAAAAGCAACAGAAATGGATTTCGGATAAGAGTAGGAACTAGAAGTTGGCTAAGAAAGGTAGAAGATCTAACTGACTAGTAACTAGCATATTGATAACTTGGTTAGGAGAGAGAGACAATTATGGTTAATAATAGGCTGGGAGTAAACTGTAGACTGAAGAGCGAAGAACGAAGAACGCAGAGCGAAGAACGCGTAGAGATAGCTACGCAAATACACGTAAAAAAGTTTGACCCAGATTCCGGGCGCTGTTTGTGTTGGTACTTATTTGTCTATAAGTATATTTTTTGTTATTTCCCTCTATCGCTCAAAAATATGTGTTATTATTTCGGTGCGTGCTGGTTAGTGTGTGTGTGTGTTTAGTACACAAACACACACACACTCCTCGCTCTTCACTGTCCAATGATCGGGAACATCAACTGCTTGATCAATTTTAGTTCATTTTAGTTTCAAAGTTCATTTGCTTGTTTTTAAGTTGTCAAACAAAAAAGCAAACTAAACTTGGGAAATGCAATTTGAAAGCTAAAACTAAGAAAGGTAATCTAGAAGTCGGCTTGATGCTACGTTCTTTCCTTTCCTTTCTCCTTTCTCTGTTGATGTTTTATGCCGGGTGCGAAGACTATGAACAAACACACACCGAAAAAGACGAAGAAATAATTTTTTGTTTAAACATTGTTAGGTTTTTTCCGGTGCGTGGAGGCGGCGGGGGAATAGAACTCAAAAACCGATGACTGCCGATAAGATAAAGCCAAAAGAACTACAAGAAGGGTGGGAGGGGGGTTTGAGGTCTCTGAGAAGAAGAAAATCGAAAAAAAAAAAAATAAGAAAAAAAGTAGAAACAACTTTTTTCCTCTATTTCGAAACGCTGGCGACCTACTTGTTGGATGTGCGGGCGTAGATCAAGGGGGTGTGTGTGGTGTGCGGCGGGCATTGGCGTGGCAGCGGGGATGCGGGGGCGGTACAACAGCCGTGTGCTGCTTTCGTTGTGTGTTGTTTTTGTGTTCCGCTCATTGTTAGAAAGAAAAATACAAAAAAAAAAAGCAGCAACAACAACAAAATAAACCGAAAAAAAAATGATTGTAAACAAAAATAAACCTTCAACTTGATACGCGTCCAGGGATGTGTTGAAGGTGTCGCCCGATAGAGATAGAGCAGCGGCGGTGGGGGGGTGCTTATGGTGCTTAAGTGGGGTGAAGGGGCGTCTTTTTTAGTTTCGGTGGGTGGGTTGGTTGCGGGGTGGCATGGGCATACAAACGTAAGCGTCTGTGTGTGTGTGTGTGTGCGTAGCTTGCCTAGAAACTGACGCAGGCATTAAGATCTTTCAATGCCTCATACCTGTACGCAATTAAGGGAGCGGTACGAGAAAGCAAGAGGGGGCAGGGCGGGGGGTAACAGATATATAGGTCACCAGCTAAACATAAATAGAGGCGCAAGATCGATGGTTCTTATCTCGCTCGCAGGGGAAACCTGGGATCAAGGGAAACGGGATTATGGCTTTTCGGAAATGTTCTAAGAATAGCAAATTACCAAATAGCCTTAATATGACATTTAAATTTCGGATAATATATATATTAATATTAAGAATTTGTAGTCCCAATCGTTAGTTAAAGTTAGGTAACTGTTTTAAGTAGCTTATCAAGAGCCCTTAGACTTAACTTTACGTTAGAAAGGAAACCCCCTAATGCCTTGAAATCTTCTTGGAAGTAAATTTGAAATTTGGAGCAGATAGATTCATCTCAGCCCACGCGAGTTTTCAAGTTCTTGGCCCAGCGCCCGTCATCTATCAACTCGCTGGAGGATTCAGGGGCAGGGAAGAGCTAAAAGCGTGAAAAGCCAATGCGGGGGAGTGGAAAACCATCGATGCTCCGTCAAATTGTGAACGCCTCAAATCGATCCCTGGCCAACTGCAGTTGTTGTTGTTGTTGTTATTGTTGTTGCCCTGCCTGTCACTTACTGTGGCGGCAACTGTCAAAATTGACCTAAAAAAGAAAACCGAAAAGAACGAACAGAAAAAAAAGTAGAAGAAGAAGAAAAGAAATATAATAAATACCAAAGAAGAAGAGACAGCAGCAGCAGAAGAAGAAGAAAATCTAAAATGAAATGAGAATTTGAAAAGCGGTAGCAGAAAACAGTGGGGGGGAGGTAAGGGGGGTTAAATATGAGGTGAGGGGTAATTTGATACACCCTGCACCCCTCCTCCCTTAGACCTTTGAAGAAATCCGAGATAATGGGTATCGCTATATGGCTATGGCCGCTTCCATATAGCGCTTCCAACATATAGAACACTTCACTTGACCGACAAACGCTCACCCAGTTTGCCCGAAAGACTATATAGAATATCTGCATTATGCAAGACTATTCTGTCCCAGAACATACGGAATCGAAACTAGAGCAATCTATTGAGCATATCTGGAGATATATATATATTGGTTGGAAATGGTTTAAGAATGTCAGTAGTAATAACTTATCATTTCCTGTAGCCTTAAATGCTTTTCCTAACAATCTTCTATCAACTTAAAAACTATATTCTCCTTCTTCTACTTCTTCTCATTGCAGTTCTTAGAGGGAATGACGCAGGCATTTCTTTTGCAGCGTTGGACTTTCGTTTTATAAGGTGAGTGCCAGCCCTAAGGATAGCTATGGGTAGATTTATGGGTTCTAGCCATAGATTTAGCTTAGATTTATGGCTTATACAGAGAATCGTAGGCGGCCAACAGGTGAATTCGAGTTGCTTCTACACAGACTGCTGCCCTATAGAGATACGTATACATATGCAAATGTATGTATGTGTGTGCATGTATATATGTATGTGTGACCCAGAAACATTATGCGAGTAAAACAGAAACAAACAAACAAACAACAGCGAAAATATTGTCAGCATTTTGCACTTTTCCAGACAGACTTTTCTCACTACTTCCCCCCTATCTCTCTCTCTCTCTCTCTCTGCCTTCTGCTCGTTCGCCCCCACTCTGCTTGGCTTGGCTTGGCTTGGCTTCTCATGAACTCTGCGTTCACTTGACATTCGTTGTGGCAACGTCACACATACACACACACACACACTCATACACTTTTGCCCAATTAAATCAGAACAAATAAATGGAGTAAACTATATCGCATAGCATAGTAACTATATCTTACATATGAATCAAAGAAAATTATATATAAATCAAGTGGCTTAAGAGTAAATCATCGGAAAAGTCAATAAAAATCAAAGGGTTTCCCCCCTCTTTGGGGAAGACTGAGAAAAGCGAAGAACGTGCACAGGTAAATAATAAAGTGCCATTAACTTTGCCCTCAATAGTTCGTTTTTCAGTTCACAAAAAAATAAAAAAAAAAAGAAGAAAAACTTTTGTTGCTGCCAAAGTCCTCGTCTGGCCTCTCTTTCGCTCGCTCTCCTTCTATCTCCCTCGTCTGTTGCAATGGTGGCGTATACGTAATCTTGTTGTTTGCTTCGCGCCTCCGTTGTTTTTGTTATTATTGTTATTATTAGTATTATATTTGTTGTTGCTGTTGCTGTTGTTGTTGCTGTTCAGCTTGCAGTTGGGGTTTTTATGCAAATGGCGTTCAAGGATTTTTGTGTGAAAGTTGTTGAACCTCATGACTGGCAATTAGAGTATGGCACTCGCTCTATATTTGAGGCACACACTTGTAGATACAGTTAGTAGAGCTTTGGACCCCTGGCCATATATGGCATAGTGCCCCTCATATCAATGAAAACAGAAAAAACAGAAGGAAGTTGGTAGCTTAAAAGAAGGAGCTTCCCATAAGATTCTCTAGGAATGAAGAATATAATCTAAGCTAGAACAGATCTTACAATACATAAGCTTCCTTGCTAATTGGCAAAAGGCAAGTGCAGCGTTGCATGTACGTCATTAGCCAGGATATATGTTGAAACAACAATGCCGACAGCCAGCCTGACTGCCCCTGCATTCCTGCAATGGACATCTCTTAAGTTTTCTACCAGCCAGGTTTCTGGTTCTCCCTGGTAAGCTAAGCTAGCTAAGGCTGGCAAACGGTTACTTACACATTACATGCTCCATGGTATCCATAACGACGCTAACAAGGTGCACTGAGGCGCCCTCCTACCCCTGACTTCCTGGACCTGGACAATTGGCCCAAGTTGATTCCTGTAAATAAACTGCATAGAAAGTGCATGCAATTCACGAATGCCAAACAAATAAACAAGCGAGCGAGCGAGCGAGCTAGCTGAGCGCTTAGTGTGTATATAAGCTATATGCATTTCCAATATCAGCCAAGGATATTCGGCTGCGCTAAGTCCACATGACCTTCTAAAGTTGGTTGACTCTAGATGCCATGCAGGCGCGTCTGCAAAAGGCGAGGGGGGTGTTAGCTTTTTCGAGGGTGTAAAAGGGGGACGGCATATCTATCCCCCCCCCACATTTTTTTTTTTTTTTTTTTTTGATTAAGCAACTGCAAACTGCAAAAATTGTGCAGTGCAAATTTGTGAAGAGCCTATGGGCTATGATGCAAGCATTACAGAGACACAGAGAGTGACAGCGAGAGAAATGAGTGAGACAAGGAGAAGCGGAGCAAGAGAGCAAAGCTCTGAGCCATGTGCACTTGATGCACAAGTGTTAGATGCCATTCGTGGGCCAAGAGCAGCAGCAAAACACTGGCCAAAGCTGCCCCAGCGGCAACACACTAGTAAAAACAGAAGCAACATTTGCCACATGAGGTAGCCTAAGAAAATAACCTTTTTCGGCTCTAATTTGGAAATCCTTTTCGTCAAGTATTTATGTTTATATATTTCTAGAACAACTTCCCCATTATTTCTCTCAGTGTAAGCAGTAAGCTTTCAAAGGCAGCCAGGAAAACCCACATAACAATCTATATGTTGCCGATGTTGCTGCTGTTGTGCAGAGCTCGTGGGCTCTTGTTTTCGATTTCTGTATTTTTGTTTCTGTTTCTGTTTCTGTTTCGATTAGTGTGTTAGCTGGGTGTCTTGAGCAGCAGCAGCAGCAGCAGCAGCAGTGCCTCTCTTTTAAGCTCTCCGCTGTTCTCAGTTCGAAGTTCTCTGTTCTCTGTTCTCCGTTCTCCGTTCTCCGTTCTCAGTTCGAAGTTCTCTGGGTCTCTGGGTCTGCTTGACAATTTCGCTACGCGGCTGTTTTGGTGGCTGCCAGTTGCACATTTCCGTTATATCCGTCAGCCAGCAGTGGCAGTCGGAGCCAAAGCGCACACACACTGCGTATGAGTAATATTCGCTTAACGAAACCAAAAACCAAGCCAAAAAAAAATAAATTTAAAAAATAAAAAAAAACCAATTAATCACGCAACTACAGAAAAATTGCAATAATCAAAGAAAAGTCAAAGCCGAAAATATTATACAAAAAAAAACAAAACAGAGTAAGAGTAAGGTGAGAGGGGAGCAAGTGCAGCGCTGCCAACGGCGACGGCGACGCGGGCAGCGGGCAGCGGTACGGGATTTGTTTTGGCTTCAGTTTTGGCCCAGCAGCTTCGACTTCAGTTCGATTCGTGATTCGTAATTCGTGGTTCGTGGTTCGTAACTGTAAAGGCGCGCAAAGAAAATCTCGAGAAGTCGAGAAGAAAAACGGCAGACAAATATTTTTTTGAAGTGAGTTCTAGGCTTGAGTGTTGCAAACTATGTGGTTACTACCACCCGCAGTGGGCCACTGAAAGAAAGGAGCGTTCAAAATCAGGCTAACGAAAGAAAAGAAAAGCTCGTAACAAAAGCAACAACAAAAACAACCAAACAGGAGCCCCCAAGACGTCAGGCAAACAAGAACAACAACAACAACAACAACCAGCTATGCCTGGCCCGGCTTTGTGGTCCGGTGAGTGTTTTATCTTTTGCAAAAGAAAAAAAAGTATAAATCTCATTTTAAGCTTAAGCGCACGGAGAGCAGCTTGCAGCTCGCAGCTCTATGTCTCTCTCTCTAGCGATCGGCTTGTTGTCTCTTTCACGAGCGATCGCCGACAAGAGAGCCACTCTGCAATTGCAAGTTGCAGCATTTCCGCATGCCGTCTCTCTTACGCCTGGCGATCCATGAATCAAGAACCCAGCAGCAACCACAATAAACTTTCACTTTAGCAGAGCGCGAAAAGAAAGAAAGAGAGGGGGCGAGGCGAGGCGAGGCGAAAGAAAGAGACGCGGGCATAAGCTGTTGGCCAAAGGCTTCCTGGCATTGCAACTTGCTGCAGCGGCGGCAATTGCAATCAGGTCTTAACACATTTGTTGCTGCTGCTGCTGCCGCTGCTGCTGTTGCTGTTGCTGTTGCTGTTGCTGTTTCGGTTGCTGCTGTTGGGTTGCTCATTATAAAGTCGTAAGCCATTTACGTTGTGTGAGTGCGAAGCAAAATGTCAGTGAGCAATAAGGAAATGAAATGTGCGCCAAACAATTATTGTATGTTGTTGTTGCTATTGCTGTTGCTGTTGCTGTTGCCGCTGCTGCTGGCAGCAGTTGAAATCGAAAGTGCTGTCAGACAATGGTCAACGAACGTATGGAAAGGGCATTAGAGAAATGCTTGTGTGGGTGCACAAAAGTAAAGTAAAGCATAGAAAAGAGTTAGGTACCCGTAAGTACTGCTGCCACATTTCTTCTTCTTTTTGGCCATTTCGCAATTCATGACATTGCTTCTGGTTGGAGTTAAGCTGTCTGCTGTTTGTCCGCGAAACCCTTGGCCATTGTCCGTATGTCTGTCTGTCAATTATCTGTTTCTGCTTTCAGCCCATAACTTTACTACTAACGATATTCGATTGTCTGCCTATTGAGTACTTCGATAAACCCTATCGATAAACTTGTCCGTTCATCCTCCTTCTGTCCGTTAGTCCTTTTGTCCGTATAGCCTTTTTCCGGCACCAACTGATCCGCCATTACTGCCATTTTCTGCTTTGCTTTTCCTTTGCTTCGCTTTTTGCTCTCGACGTTGCGCAATCGCTTGTCATTGTCCATTGTTGAGTTGCCGCCACCGCCACCGCCGCCGTCGTTGTCGTTGTCGTTGTCGTTGCTCTAATTCAAATTAACTTTTACCTTTCCACACGAATTTTCACCCCCTCGCTCTGTACCGCTGTCTCTCCGATCGTAGAACTCCATTGTCAGACAAAGATAGCAAGAAACGAGTGATAGAGAGGAAGACAGAGAGCAGGAAGCAGCAATCTATGCTGCAACTGCCACACGGCTGATGTTGCTGCTGTTACTCGCTCTCTTTTGGCGGAAGGAAAGTGCCTGCTGCTTCGCCAGAGCTTTTGCTGAGCAACCCCTCTCTGGACTCCTGAACACCCCAACCATAAACCACCTCCCCCTACCCCCTACCCCTACCCCCCTTCACCCGTGTGGAAAGTGCAATGGCACAGTTTTGCTCTCAAAAGGAGGTGGAGAAGGAGACGTTCTCCCCACAAAATGGGAGTTAGCATGAAAGTTGAGAAGCTTTTTTTGGTGGCAATTGGGAGGGAGGGGGGGTTGGCGTGGAACTAGGAAAGCTTTCAACTAATGCCAGTGCCCCTGCCCCCTAAGTGCCACCCCCCGCCCCCCACTAACCCTCCCTTAAGCTCGCCGGTCAACGTCCACACCAATACACCCACACACCACCAGCAACATATGCAACTTGTGTGTTGCTCTTGTTGTTGTGTGTAAATTCTAATTTGAATGCAATGTTTGGGCAGAGGAGCGAGGGAGATGGAGCTAGAAAAAGGGAAAAGAGAGAGTGAGGTTTAGTTGCAGTTAGAATTTAGTTGCAGTTGCAGTTGCAGTTGCAATTGCAATTGCAATGAACTCCAGCCAGTGGGCGGCGGATGGTGTTGGTGAGAGTGAGAGAGCGAGAGGTGGAGGAAAAAAAAAACGAGCCTAGTGACTCTGCTGACGTCGACGTCGCTGCCAAAGCATAACTATGACGTCGCTGCTGGCTGGTGAATGTGTGTGTGTGTGTGTGTGAGTGTGCTTTTAGTGTTTTTTGTTCGTTTTGTCTATTGGTTTTCATTTTCGTTCGCTGCCGACGTCGACGCTTCTAATGCCCGATCGCGATAGACAGAGAGAGAGAGAGAGAGAGAGGGAGAGGGAGACAGAGCAAGAGATACAGCGGGACAGAGAGAGAGAGTGAGCGAGCGGTGGAGCCATAGGGGGCAGGTGGGAGGTGATGGTAGTGTGGTAGGGGGTAGGGGGGAGTCCACGCCTGCGCCGACAGCGACGCCAGCAGCGGCTGAGGCAGCAGCAGCGTTTCGTGGCTGCTGCTTTCTTTCGCTCGCTTACTCCTTTCATTTCACTTTATTTCGTTCGCATGTACGCACGTTGGCCGCGGAGCAACATCTCTCCACCGAAACAAAAACAGAAACCGAAACAGAAACATCAACAGCAACAACAGCAACAGCAAAAGCAACAACAACAACAGAAAAACAAAACCCAAAAACAAACAACACAGCAACACGGCAGCAGCCGTCGCTCAGACGCGGAACTTGGCTCGAACTTTAGATTAGTTTTCCAGTGGCCAGTGACTAGAGTGCGGCGGTATCGGGCGAAACGGTTGACGGTTAACGGTTAACGGTTAACGGTTGACAACCAATGGTTAAGCACGCGCGTAACCCTTTTTTTTAAGTTTATCAAAGTTTTAGTGGTTTTGAAAGCAAAATTCAAAAATTCAAAAATATAAAAACAGCATACATTGTAAATGTAAAGTATAGGCAAGAATCGAAAGCCAAGAGTGGTATGTGCCCTTAGTTTTGACCCAAGACTAAGACCCCCCAAAGATCTTAAAATAAAGACCCCTGACACCCACATACCATACACCATACACCACACACCACACACCAACCCACCCAACCTCACACAGTCTCATTTCTCAGTCTCAATCTCAAACTCAAACTCAATCTCAATCTCATTTCGAGGATCAAGAGAAAAGGAGCAGCAACATCAATCGATTCATTATGTTTATATATATATATTTTTTTTTGGAGTGATTTAAGTTTGGCAATGGACGCAGACTTCTTCTTCTAAACAGAGGAAACCGAAGGAATATCGTGTTATGGCTTAGAAGAAGAAGTCCATGGACAAATGGTTGTTGTGATCAAAAGTGTTTATTGAAATGTGTTTGAAAGTCGGTGGTTGCCCAGTCAAGATGGCCCAGCATCATTCGTTTGTCCGTCTGTATCTGCCCACCTAGAAGCTAGCCCAAATGAATGCCCAGCAGCCGCTGATCCTGGAGCCCAAGGCCAGCAGTGGTGTTGTTGTGGCAGCTGCCGAAATCGAGGCGGCAACGAGCACAGAAGCGGCTGTGGCGCCATCAGTGTCCACGGAAGCGTCAGTGGCGGACTCGTATCCTCAGCTAAATGGCGGTCATGAGGAGCAGCGTGTCAATGGTAATCACAGCTGTCGGCGAGATCAGGCAGAGGATCTTTCAGATCAGCAGGATGACCCTGATCAGGTCAAAGATGTGGCCAACAAGCTGACCATTATCAAGACGCCGCTAAACAAGACGCTGCTTAAGAAGTGCAACAGCAATGGCAGCCTGCAACTGCCGCACAGCAACAATGGCAACAACAACAACAATAATATCGGCAACAGCAACATCAGCAGCCACAGCAACAACAACAACAACAACAGTCGCAACAACAGCAACAGTGCGGCCAGTGACGACGTCGACGGCGCCTGCGATTCCGGTTTGCAAAGCGGAAATAGCAATGAACAAGAACCATTTGCCAACAACGATCGCCATCATCACATCTACCACCACCATCATCATCACTATCATCATCATCATGGCGGTGATAAGGGCGGAGCGGGCGGCGATGTTGCATCCTCATCGTCATCGGATTTGACGCAGGTCAAGGATGAGCCAGCCGGACAGGATAATGACAATCATCATTTGAAATCAGGGGCAGCTGTGGCAGCGACAATAACACCTGCCACGGGTACGGGTGCAGGACCTGCTTCACCTGCGGCCACGTGCAACCCCAGCAAGTGCAACAAGTGCAATTCTCACAACAACAACAGCCACTGCAACAATAATAATAATACCATCAATAATAATAATAATAATAACAACAACAACAATAATAATAATAATAATAATAATAATAATAATACAAGCAGCAATACCAACAACAACAACAACAACAACAATAATCATTACAACAATTACAATAACTATTATAAGAAAAAGTCTCGTATGCCGCCCATTTGCCGTTAGTATTGCATTCATCTATATACTCTATACCCCGTAAATCATACTTAATCATAAATGCGTAAGAACACCACCACCGCCACCCATCGTCCTGCCCCCCTCTTGGTAGCCCCCCTACCCTTGCCATACCCATTACTTACTCTCTCTCTCTCCCCTTCTACCAACCAAACCAATTTCAGTCAACAACCAAACCCTAAACCCCCGAAAACCCTTGCCCCTCCAAAGAAAGTGCACTAAACTGGAGCAAGAAACAACAACAATTGGCCAAAAGAAAAGAAACAAGACTTTGCATTGAAAAGAACCCACCAACACCACCACTACCACCCCCAAAAAGCACCCAACCAAAGACCGCCCACTGGAATGCATACCGCTGCTACCACTGTCACTCTGCTCTGCAGCTCCAGAGGCAGCGGGCAGGGACAGAAGCGGTCTAGATGCTTCCCGAACGAGTCACAATAATACCAAAAAAAACAAAAAAACAACAAAATTCGAAATCAAAATCAAAATCAAAATCAAAAACAAATTCAAAATCAAATGAAAAAGCAAAAGCAAAAGAAACACAATCAAACACACACAAAAGCAAATTGAAAAATAACATCAGGAAAAGAAGAAAAACAAAAGCTAAGGCAAAAAAGCTAACAGCAACAACAACAAGAACAACAACAACGATTGGCAAAAAAGAGAATTTTTTGTTTTTATCAAAATTTAAACAATCGGCAAAGACAAGAAAAAACGAAATTATGACATCCATAGGTAAATTTGTGACTATATCCCAAAAACCAAAACCAAAAACAAAAACTAACACTAACATTAGAAACTTAGAAAAAGCCAGAAAAACACACACACACACATGAGCCATCCATCTACCTAAAAAGGCAAACTTGGAGGCGGCTGTTATTAAGATCTAAACTATCCCTAGTTTTAGTCCTCCACATTTGCCTTTTGACAACCGCTTTCCCCACTCCCAAAAAGCACCTCAACTATTAATATCTAATGCATAATCATAATGCATCTAACTATTGGTTAAGATATTATTTAATAACTTTCAAAACAAAGAACATTGGGGCTAATAAATATCCAGAAAGACCTTCAAAAATTAGCAACATAAACTAAGTTCTGCTGCTTTTGAAGGTTAATCAAATGTTAAGGCCATCAATAGGCTTTTTAGATCCTAAAGATACATCTTATCAAGTCTTCACAAAGACCATTCTTTCTTTGAGTAACTTTAAAAGTTAACTATTATTGCTTTTATTTACTTTAAAGTATACTATTTGGGTTATCCTTATTAGCAACTCTCTGGCATTCTTCCAGTTGACACCAGTTAAAGAGCCCAAAACTTTCTCTACACCCTTCTATATCTACATCTAATTCTAATTCTAATTCTCGTTCTAATATCTCTCCTCTTCGATCATGATTTAATCGCACCTTACCATAAAGATTAGATCTTAGAATGTTAGATGGCCAGAAACTATCGTAAATTCTAGCTTGTTTTCTGTTTTTGTTTGCCTCGAATGCAGTTTCTATAGAACAGGTACATATCTGCACCTCTGGATATATATATATATATATCTGATCTTTGTATGTCTGCGTGTATTTGAACTCTAGTATATATACAGTGGCGTGTAGAAGTTGGCTCCACGCGCCCACACACACACGCACACACAGGGGCGAAAAGATATAGACGCAGAGAGGCACGCATGGTTTTATTGTTTAGAATAATCTTGCGCTTGATAATGAAAATAGGTCAAATTTTAAAAATACACACACAAACGACATTGCCGTCGTCGACGTCGCTGCTAACGAGTCGCCCCACGAGAGAACTTTTGCCGCCCGAAGCTATATGGTTTATCTCCCAATGTGTGCGTGTGTGCGTGTGTGTGAGTGCGTAAAGAGATCGCCATTGGATAGATAGAGAAAAGGGGGGAGTTCAAATGGCCAGGGGAATGGGAATGATCAGGGGGTATGGGAATGGGGAAAGGGGAAAGGGGGAATAGCAGAATGGGGAATAGGGTAGAGGGAAAAGTCGTCGTTGGGCCAACGCACCAAGTGACCGAATCGGCCAGATAGAGACGGATATATCGGAAGGGGCCGCAGGCAGAGGAAGGGAGATATAGAATAGAATAGGCGATCGAAAAATCAACAATTACAGCTACACAGAGAGAAAAAAATGTTAGGAATTTTATATTATAATAATAGCTTATGATCAAAATACTGAATTTACTGGCTTAGTACTCTCCTAGTCTTATAAGACTTACATCTTGTATCAGTTTAAAGGCGTTTCAGTGAGATCCCTCATTTTTGTCTGTGTACCAAAAACTGCTCACCAAATACCAACGCCCCTTGCAACATATATATCTGTTGCATTGTAATCGGTTGATCGTTAAACGGAGTGATAGCACAAGAGCAACACCAACCGACAGCAGCAACATCAATGCCCAGCAGCAACATCTACAAATAGCAACAACAGAGAATGAGACAGAGAGACCGAGAGAGAGGGCAGGCAAGCTTTGACCCATTTCGGGAAAAGAGTTCTGCTTTTGGGGAAGCATATATAGCAAGCATACACCAGCATATATCATAGCATAGCTCTCCGATCTGAGAGTGCCGATCGATCAAGCTAACGTAATTAACCGAATTCCTCGTATCTTGGCTTCGTTTCTGGCCAAAACTTTAACTTTTGTCTCGCTTTAACCAGTTATTCGCTGGCTTCTTCATTTTTCTTTTTCTTGCTTTTTTTTTTGTCTTCTGGCAGCTGTTGCTCAGTGGGGAAGTAAATGCAAATTGATCGGTTATTTGTTTATATTCCATCAGCAAATCAATGCAAAAACAAAATTCGGAAAGAAAAGAAACTTCCGCAACAAATTTATGCGAATATACGAATCTATGCATATTAGCCATCCATCCATCCATGCGGCAGGCGGTATCTGAGAATTTCTCAAGCCCAAGCCGCTGGTCTAGAAACTAACTGTATATCTTATTAAGTATGACACGTGACATGTTTCTGATTATCGGCTTAACATTAACTGAATCTTAAATGGGAAAGCTTAGCTTTTCACTCGTTCCCATCATATACGAGTATATATAAAAGGAAAGATCAAATAAAGTTTTCCGATTTATAATTATGTTAAAAAGGTATCTTAATTTATCTTACATATTACTTTAGTGACAGGTTTTTAATGCTAATTATAATCTTATAATTTATATATATTTGGTTTTTGATATCTATGAAAAGACAACTTCATTTTTGGGTTTAAGTCTGCCTGCAGATAATCCCCTATGTTGGCCAACTACTAAACCTGATCTTTTGGATCTTCTTCCCAACTCTTTTCACCTCTCTAGGAATTATGACACTGAGCCGTGGCCCTTACAGCGAGCTCGATAAAATGAGCCTTTTTCAAGACCTCAAACTCAAACGGCGGAAAATCGATTCGCGATGCAGCAGTGACGGCGAGTCTATAGCGGACACGTCCACCTCGTCGCCGGATCTGCTGGCGCCCATGTCGCCGAAGCTCTGTGACAGCGGTTCGGTGGCGACGTCGGCAGGGACGTCAATGCCCCTACCGCTAGCGTTGCCACTGCCCCTGCCCTTACCACTGCCCATGTCGTTGCCCCTGCCCTTAACGGCGGCATCGTCAGCGGTCACCGTTTCGCTGGCAGCGGTCGTTGCGGCGGTGGCCGAAACGGGCGGACCGGGGTCGGGAGGTGCTGGGACAGCAGTAACAGCCTCGGGAGCGGGACCCTGCGTCTCCACATCGTCCGCGACGGCGGCAGCAGCCACATCCTCGACCTCCTCGCTCTCGTCCTCCTCCTCTTCATCCTCCTCCACGTCCTCCAGCAGCACCTCCTCCACCTCGCCGACAGCTGGAGCCTCCTCCACGGCCACCTGCCCCGCCAGTAGTAGCAGCAGCAGCAGCAGCGGCGGAGGAAGTTCGGGCAAGAGTGGCAACATAAAGCAGGAGCACACGGAAATCCACTCCTCGAGTAGTGCGATTTCAGCGGCAGCCGCCTCAACGGTGATGTCACCACCGCCTGCAGAAGCGACGAGATCCAGTCCAGCCACGCCGGATATGAGCGGACCAACTGGTGTAGGATCAGGAGCAACAGGAGTAGGAGGAGCAGGAGCCACGAGCGGTGGAGCAACGTCAGGAGTGGCGATCAATGAACACCAAAACAATGGCAACGGCAGTGGGGGAAGTAGTCGAGCCTCGCCCGATTCGCTAGAGGAGAAGCCCTCTACGACGACTACGACTGGTCGTCCAACGATAACGCCCACAAATGGAGTACTGTCCTCGGCCTCAGCGGGCACGGGAATAACCACAGGGAGCAGCGCGAAGCTGAGCGAGGCGGGCATGAGTGTGATACGCTCCGTAAAGGAGGAGCGATTGCTCAGCGTGTCCAGCAAGATGCTGGCCTTTCATCAACAGCGCGAGCAGGAGACCAAAGCGGCGACAGCTGCAGCAGCAGCAGCAGCGGCGGCGGGACACGTCACAGTTTTAGTGACGCCATCGCGGATCAAATCAGAACCACCGCCGCCGGCCTCACCCTCCTCCACATCCAGTACACAAAGAGAAAGGGAACGAGATAGGGATCGTGATCGAGAAAGGGAACGAGAGCGGGAGCGAGAGCGAGAACGGGAACGGGAACGGGAACAGTCCATCAGCTCCTCGCAACAGCATTTGAGCCGGGTCTCAGCCAGTCCACCGACTCAACTGTCCCATGGCAGCCTGGGACCAAACATCGTTCAGACGCACCATCTCCATCAGCAACTCACCCAGCCGCTGACGCTGCGCAAGAGTAGCCCGCCCACAGAGCATCTGTTGAGCCAGTCCATGCAACATCTCACCCAGCAGCAGGCGATCCACCTGCACCATTTGCTCGGCCAGCAGCAACAGCAACAGGCGTCGCATCCCCAGCAGCAACAGCAGCAGCAGCACTCGCCCCACTCCTTGGTGCGGGTGAAGAAGGAACCGAATGTGGGCCAGCGTCACCTGTCGCCGCATCATCAGCAACAGTCGCCGCACCTGCAGCACCACCAGCAGCAACAGCAGCAGCAGCAGCAACATTTGCACCAGCAACAGCAGCAACAGCAACACCATCAGCAGCAGCAACCCCAGGCACTTGCCCTTATGCATCCCGCTTCCCTGGCGCTGAGGAACAGCAATCGCGACGCGGCCATTCTGTTTAGGGTAAAGAGCGAGGTGCACCAGCAGGTGGCCGCCGGACTGCCGCACCTTATGCAATCGGCCGGAGGAGCAGCTGCGGCAGCAGCAGCAGCAGTGGCCGCCCAGCGGATGGTTTGCTTCAGCAATGCCAGGATCAATGGAGTGAAACCGGAGGTGATTGGGGGTCCGCTGGGCAACCTGCGACCCGTGGGCGTCGGTGGTGGGAACGGTGGTGGCTCCGTGCAGTGCCCCTCTCCGCATCCCTCCTCCTCTTCGTCATCCTCGCAACTGTCGCCGCAGACGCCATCACAGACCCCGCCCCGTGGCACGCCCACCGTTATCATGGGCGAGAGTTGCGGGGTACGCACCATGGTCTGGGGCTACGAGCCACCACCACCATCGGTGGGTCAGTCACATGGCCAGCACCCGCAGCAACAACAGCAGTCGCCCCACCACCAGCCACAACAGCAACAGCAGCAGCAACAGCAGTCGCAGCAGCAACAGCAGCAATCGCAACAGCAACAGTCGTTGGGCCAGCAGCAGCATTGCCTGTCCTCGCCCTCGGCAGGATCGCTGACACCCTCCTCCTCCGGTGGCGGTTCGGTCTCGGGAGGCGGAGTGGGTGGACCACTTACTCCTTCATCGGTGACGCCGCAGAACAACGAGGAGGCTGCCCAGCTGCTTCTCTCCCTTGGACAGACACGCATCCAGGACATGAGATCACGACCACATCCCTTCCGCACCCCGCATGCCCTCAACATGGAAAGGCTGTGGGCGGGCGACTATTCACAATTGCCGCCCGGCCAGCTGCAGGCCCTCAATCTCAGCGCCCAGCAGCAGCAGTGGGGCAACAGCAACTCCACGGGTCTCGGCGGTGTCGGCGGTGGCCTCGGTGGACGTAGTCTGGAGGCACCACACGAGCCGACCGACGAAGACGAGCAGCCGCTCGTGTGCATGATCTGCGAGGACAAGGCCACCGGCCTGCACTACGGCATCATCACGTGCGAGGGGTAAGTAAAAAGCTTCCTGAGTCCTAAATCCAAACTGAGTACTAATCTAATCCGAATCCTTGAAATTTTACCTCCGTCAGGTGCAAGGGCTTCTTTAAGCGGACGGTGCAGAACCGACGCGTCTACACCTGCGTGGCGGACGGCACCTGCGAGATAACCAAAGCACAGCGGAACCGTTGTCAGTATTGTCGATTTAAGAAGTGCATCGAGCAGGGCATGGTGCTGCAAGGTGAGTACTTGACGTCTCCTGCTGGACTCCGCAGATTCCCTAACCAGAACAACCACTCCCCCGTTCTTTCTAGCCGTTCGCGAGGATCGCATGCCGGGCGGTCGCAACAGCGGCGCCGTCTACAATTTGTACAAGGTGAAGTACAAGAAGCACAAGAAGACCAATCAGAAGCAGCAGCAGCAACAGGCCGCCCAGCAGCAACAGCAGCAGGCGGCGGCGCAGCAGCAACACCAACAACAGCAGCAGCATCAACAGCACCAACATCAGCAGCACCAGCAACAGCAGTTGCACTCGCCGCTGCATCATCATCACCACCAGGGTCACCAGCCGCACCATGCGCAGCAGCAGCACCACCCACAGCTGTCGCCGCATCACCTGTTGTCACCGCAGCAACAGCAACTTGCCGCTGCCGTGGCAGCAGCTGCGCAACACCAACAGCAACAGCAACAACAGCAGCAGCAGCAACAGGCCAAGCTGATGGGTGGCGGCGGGGTAGATATGAAGCCCATGTTCCTGGGTCCTGTTCTCAAGCCGGAATTGCTGCAGGCACCGCCCATGCACAGCCCGGCCCAGCAACAGCAGCAGCAACAGCAGGCCTCGCCACATCTCTCTCTGAACTCGCCGCATCAGCAACAGCAACAGCAGGGCCAGCATCAGAATCACCACCAGCAACCGAGTGGTGGTGGCGGTGGAGCAGGAGGAGGAGGAGCCCAACTGCCGCCGCATCTGGTGAACGGAACAATACTGAAGACGGCCCTGACCAATCCCAGCGAGATTGTGCATCTGCGCCACCGACTCGACTCGGCGGTCAGTTCGTCCAAGGACCGACAGATCTCGTACGAGCACGCCTTAGCCATGATTCAGACACTGATCGACTGCGACGCCATGGAGGACATTGCCACACTGCCGCACTTCAGCGAGTTCCTCGAGGACAAGTCTGAGATCAGCGAAAAGCTGTGCAACATCGGCGATTCGATAGTACACAAGCTGGTGTCGTGGACAAAGAAGCTTCCCTTCTACCTGGAGATCCCGGTGGAGATACACACCAAGCTGCTGACGGACAAATGGCATGAGATCCTCATCCTGACCACGGCCGCTTACCAAGCGTTGCATGGCAAGCGAAGGGGTGAGGGGCCGGGCAGCAGGCATGGTTCACCGGTTTCAACGCCGCTGGCCACGCCAACTGCCACTCCATTAGGCACGCCGATACCCTCGCCCGCACAGCCGCTGCACAAGGACGATCCGGAGTTCGTCAGCGAAGTGAACTCGCATCTGAGCACCCTGCAAACCTGCCTGACCACGCTGATGGGCCAGCCGATAGCCATGGAGCAATTGAAGCTGGATGTCGGTCACATGGTGGACAAGATGACCCAGATCACCATCATGTTCCGGCGCATCAAGCTCAAGATGGAGGAATACGTCTGTCTGAAGGTCTACATACTGCTGAACAAAGGTACGTGGTTCGATTTGTCCAGTCCATTGATATAGTGCTCATGTTACTTTCCCGTTTCTATTGTAAATCCAGCAGAAGTGGAACTGGAGAGCATCCAGGAGCGGTACGTCCAGGTTCTGCGATCCTACCTGCAAAACTCCTCGCCGCAGAATCCGCAGGCGAGGCTCAGCGAGCTGCTCTCCCACATACCGGAGGTAACTAGCCAGTAACTTTAGAATTATATAGCCATATACCTATGTGTTATCTTTGGAGAGATCTCTTTGGAGATCCTGCCGTATCGTTGTTCTATGATTCACCCTTTGCCCACTTATAGATCCAGGCTGCGGCCAGTCTGCTACTCGAGAGCAAGATGTTCTATGTACCCTTCGTGCTCAACTCGGCGAGCATAAGGTAGCAGATGCTTGAGCATGGCCTGCTGCCGACCGCCAACCACCAGCCAGCGCCGCCACCACACGGCCCTGATCCGATTCTCCCGGATCGGCAGCAGCAGCAGCAACAGGAGCGGCGCCGTAGCAGGCAGCAGCAGCACCAGTTGCTGCGCGACCTGCCCAAAATCAAGATCGAGATTGGGGCTCAGCGCGAAGCTGAGGAAGAGGAACAGGAGCCAGAGCAGGAGCAGGAGCTAGAACTGGAGGAGCGGTCCCGATCCTCGACCGCATCCACGTCCATTTTAAAGACTTCGTTGCTGAGCGGGGCGGCGGCCACGTTGGCCACCTTAACAGCGGCTGCCGAGCAAATAGCTCGCACCTCGGCCAGCAGCGACACACCCAGGGACTATTCCCACAGCAGCAGCAGCAACAGCAACAGCAACACTGCCAACACAGCAACAGGAACTTTGGCCAGCGGCAGGACAGGCAGCAGCAACAGTTTAGAAGAGAGCAAAAGACTTGAGCATCATCAACAACAACAACAACAACAACAACAACAGCAACCACAACAGCATCAGCAGCAACAATATACATCAATACTACACACGGCCTTAATGTCACAGCGTTCCATGCCAGCAGCAACATCTGCCGCTGCAGCATCAACTGCGGCAACAGCAACAACGACAGCGACAACAGCAGCAACAACATCGCCCACACCTGCGCATGTACTGAAAACAGCGGTGACCTTAGCCAGTCTAAGTGAGATAGCCACTGCACGTCAGCAGCAGCAGCAGCAACAACAGCAATTGCTGGCGTTGCAGCAGCAACAACAGCAACAGAAACTGCCCAGAAGGATAATCAACTTTGGAAGCAACCACTCGGCGACCAAAGGATTGGGAGCGGGAGTAGGAGTGGGCATGGCCTCAGCAACGGCAACAGCATCGACAACGGCCACAGCAACACTCGGACGCAATCGCCAACTAGGCCTGAGCCAGGGTCAAGTGGCGAATGGTAAGCAGAAAGAATTGTGAGCCTTGTGTTTGCGATAACGTTTGTGTAACCTCCTTAACGTTGCCAGCCAGGACAGCGCGTCTGCTCAACGGCAACTGTTGCGGCCGATTGCAGGCGACAGCAGCAACAGGGGCTACCAGGGGCACCAATACTTCCGGCAGCAACACGGTCAACATACAGACCCAGACCGATGATGAGTTACTGCCGCTGTTAGCCATGGCCCCACAAGCAACTCCCACAACAACAGCAACAGCAACAGCAACAGCGACAACAACAGCAGCAGCATCATTATCATTAGCAGCCACATCATCATCATCATCATCATCATCAACAACAACGATTTCATTAGCAACACGTGCAGCAGCAGCAATGCAGCAGCAGCAACAATGGACTGCCGTGTCGACGACGCCAGCAAGAGGAGTGATGATGACGACGACGACACAATCACAAGCAACATTAGCACCACAACAACAGCAACAACCACTGCCACAACAACAACAACAACAACTACAATTAAATACAAAAATTAACAGTAAAAATATAACAAAAACAACAACAACAACCACAACAGCACCAACAACAACAGAAACAACAACAAAAACACACAACAGCAACAGCAACATCAACTTCAACAGCAACAATAACTATACGAATAACAATAATATTAACGCCGCCACTGCCAGAGCCTCTGCCTTCGCCTACGCCTCTGCCACAGGCACGACGCCCACTGCCACACCCCCGCGCCAGCGATCGGCCCCGCCCCCGCGCACGCCCACAGCCACCTCAGCTTCTGTTACTGTAGTTGTGTTCAAAACAATGTTACCTGATGACTGAATTATTTTAGAATCGTACACGTAGAGCATGTTTTATTATGATTACCACTATGATTACCACTTACGATTTACGATTACGATTATGATTACAATTATGAGTATGTCTGGATATCATTACCTATTAACTATTCATTAGTTATGGCTTATCGATTATTACTATTATTACTATTACTATTGCTACATGCATAATGTAGAGCCTAATTGATCTATCATGTATTTTAGTTTGTCTAATTGTTGGATCCCTGTACTATATCCCACACACACACATAAACACACATTCACCCATATTTGATCCTCACCCCCAAAAAGGAAAACAATCCACAAACACACAACCATTAACTAAGGAAGGATATGCATACGAGAAGTTGAAACATTTTAATCATGTAATTCTATTCTGTTTTTGCTGAAAGGAGACGAACGAGATAGAGAGTTAAGCAGGAGCAGCAGCAGCAGCGATTCGAAGTGTTAAACGAGTAGGATTATGAGTATGTAGTGAGTATGTAGTGAGTATGTAACGAGTATGTAATGTTAACGTAGCCACAATGCCACACACAGCTATAGCAAGCATTTAGGATGCGTGCATATGTCAGTTATCTATTTTTTTTTTTTTAACTAAATACCTATATAAAGTAACCAGAGAGGAAGATGAAGAAGCGGAAGCGGAAGCGGATGAAGAGCGAAGCAGGGCGGGAGATTCAACCACATAAAGTATAAATAGTAGAGTCCAAGCAAGTAGCTAGTTTAGTGTAAATCCGTTTTTTGGGGCAAAGCAGAGAAGTAGAGCAATTCGTCAACGAGGGAAAGAGAGGATAATGTTGGATTGAGTGAACGGAAATGGAAAAGGAAACGGAAACGGAAGCTAGACTGCCAGATCGGAATCACACATCAACCATAAGAGAACTTCGCTCGCACCTCTTGAAGAATAAATACTGTTAGAAACAGTTAGTTATCGATCCCAAGACCCCCGACCCACACACACACACACACACTATACCTAAGTTAAGAACGCATAATCACATACTACACATAAATTACGCATAGTACATACAAAAATGAGAAATAAGAAAAGGAAAAACAAAGATAAGAAACGAAGAGAGCAGAAAAGAAAAGAAAGAAACGAAAGGATTTTTTTTTTGTGTAAGCCCGATTGCGCAATTGTATATCGTAATTGTGTTGTCGTCGCAACCCCAAACGCCTATCGCCCATGGCGGTATTGATGCCCAGATTGTTATCGATATCGTCGTACTACGTTTTATTTTGTAAATGTATTAATTTTGTTGATTTTTTTGCTGTCTGTATACATTTTTTTTAACAACATTTTTGAATAAATGTAATTCTTGAATACGCTTATGTTTTATCAATTTCATTTTATACCACACCCAACTTTTTGTGCCTCAAAACTTTTCAGTTTTGATTGGTTTGTATATAGAATAGAAATGAGTCCTTTCAATTTTCGAGGTTACTTTATCGTTATTTAACTATTTACACTAAATTTTTAATGGTTTTTGTAGTACAACACATTTTTCTTTCATTTTGTTAAAGCTTAATGCAGAGAAGAATATAAACTCGTCCTTGATCCACATTTTTACACCTCTTCTACGAGATCATTTTTGTTTCTACTTGGAAATTCCTCAGTGGCGCCACCTGCATTTAGAGGCCCGAAAATATAAGCACCGGAAATGGCAAATTCGTTTTTAAATCGGCTTGAAAGAAAATCGGAAGAATCTCGTGTGAATAGCGAAACCCGATCCCCTGTCCTGTAACTGAACCCGATCCTCCCGATTCCAGCTCTTTGAAATAAATAACGAAACCTAGGGCTAAGAGGAGGGGGGAACAGAAATAGAGAAAATAAGCTAAACAAAAAATAAAACACGAAAACGATGTTTTTCGAATTAAAGCGAAGAACAGAAGATGAGAAATAAGCAAGAGTCTGACATCAAATTGCCTTCAAAGTGTTATTTTCGATTTTTTTTCCGTAGAGTTTTTTTACGAGAAAACGATGCAAAAACCAATACGAAATACCAAATAGCAAGAATATTTAAAGTACGTATATATGTGGATTTATATAAGCGATGACATAATAATCAATATATGAAATATGAAGAAAACAAAACAAAAAAAACGGCAACGGACGGACGGCTAAAGAAAGATTAACATTTTTTGTAGAGTAAAAGCAGGATAAAACAGCATCTGGAGGGAAAGAGTCAAAAAAAAATATTTTTGCACAGCGTGTTATCGAATAAGTGTTAGACTTTAAACGTATCTGTAATCGAGATTCAAATCAATCAAATATCCTGAATTTCCCCTCCCAACCCATCCTCAATATCCAAAACCCCATTTGATTAATAAGGATAGGGTCAGATGGAGGAGTGCTCCCGCAGGATAAGAAGAAGTGTCTTTGTAAATACATGAGTATAAGGAGTGGGACATATAGGGTGTTTTTAAACCCCTTAACCAATCCATCTGGCGTCTCGAGGATAAACCATTAGTTAGCTAATTTTAATGACATACACTCCCGGATTAACCAACTGCAGTCACCCATCCAGCAACGACTTGTCGTAGATAAAACTGTTGTACCCAAAAAAAAAAAAAAACATAAATGCTCAACTCCATGACTTGACCCACTCGTCCACTCGCCCACACCCACAACTTCGCTTGCCTAGATCCATTTGCATCCCGGGCAGACCCCGATGTCCCCATAGTTTATAGCGTGGATGCAATATGAACTTCTTATGGTGCTTAATCTGGATCTTGATCTTGAGGACAACCCAAGCCTACAACTTAAATTATGGGACTGATGCAATGAAACAAAAAGAAAAAAAAGGAAAAAAATAAGGGGAGGAAATCTAATAAGCCCATATATGTGTATACTACATGTATATGTGTATTGATTAAACGATTCAATAATTAAAACGAAGTAGATCCTTCCATATGATAAAAACAAAAACAAAACAGAAAAAAAACAAGAAAAATGAAGGGTAAACGCTAGGGAGAGATCTCGCTTCTGAGGCCATTGTTATACTCTTTGAATTTGTGTATACCCCAAATTAGAAAATTGTGAAACCAAATCCAAAACATAACTAGTCACCGTGGAAAATTATAGAAATAATGTTTTTTTTTTTCTAATTCTACATAGCGGTCGCCAGCGACTTTTACCTTTTATATAAGTGTATACAATATGGTTTTTGTTTCGTTTTGGATTTGACTTGAATGTTACACGATGTATTGATATTGATTGATTGATTGATTAGTGAACGTTTGATGTAGTGGTAACCAAAAAGTATAATTTAACTGATACATTGATGTAATGCATAAGAGTTGGTGACACAAACGGCAAAGGAACCGCAAAATGATAATGAAATGAAAATGAAATGTTAGCAAATATAAAACAGATAACTAAGATGAACTAAGCCCGTAATTGAGAATTTTTAAAGCACGATTCGAGATCACATATAAATTTAATAAATTACACATGTATTAATAATGAAATGATGTATTTACGAATAAAATTAATATTATCACATGAATCATTTAAACGCGACCAGTCTATTTAAAAAGCTCGGACGGAAACTGTGACTCCATCACGATCTTAAAGGGCTTTTTGGCTACCATCTCGTCTTTGTCGACAATGAAATCGCTGTTAAGGCTCAGAGTCAGAAAATTTTTTGGGTATCAGGAAGGCAAGTACTTACTCTTCGTTGGCCAGGGTCACGTTGATGCGATCCGTCGAAACCTGAGTGGGTCGTATGGCTCCGAAGAAGTCTGTGATGGGCACCTTGTGCGGATCTCGGCGGTACAGATCCTTGCGCACTCCCACTGTCGAAATGCACACTCGTTTGGGGCAAACTTGCAACTGATGGGAAAGTGTAGTTTTCAGAATAACGAATCTTTTGGGAAATCTTAAGGAAACACTCACAAATTCCCCAATTGTCCGCTTGCTGAAAGGTTGCACCTTCTCCAAGAATTCCAAAGCGTAGTATGTGTAACGATCGATCATGTAGACGCCGATCGAGGGATCCACGTGGTGCTGCGGGTTGAAAATCGTTAAGATTTTTTATCTTTAAGACTGCAGACTTGCTTACCGATAAGGAATCCTCGCCCACTAAACTACTAGCCACTGCAAGGACATTTGGTGAGGTGAACTTCTCATACAACGATGCTGCTTGGCAAGTATCCACCATGAAGAACAGTTCATTGTACCTGAAAGAAATTTGTGATTTGTTAAGTCTAGAAAGAATATTGCTACATGAAGCTAGCGCTGTAAAGTAATATATTAGTTAGATGACTAACTAAAGACATCTTTCGGAAGTTTATAGTACAAAGGATTAGTGTCTTACCGCTTCTTTTCCCACATCTGCTGTATGCCATCGGCAAGCTCCTGGCTTGTGATCTCTTCCGAATCCTGGAACTTGAGGAATCCATCGCCGCCGTGACCGGTGAGGTAGATAAGTACATTGCTGCCGGCATCGGAAAGCAGCTTCTTGGACCGTGCAGTTCCGTTCTGTGTACGCCCAGTCAACAATCGCACAAAGTTCTCCACAGTGACCTCGTATCCCCGGTAATCTACCTCCACATCATCCCCATAGACATTTATGTGCTGATTGGCATTATTGTAGACTTGGCCAGGGCGTGGGTTCCGGGCGTTGCAGGCCATGTCGTCAGCGATCATCAAAATGATCTGAGAGTCGGGAATACCTAGTCTCTTTACTGAACGATAGATGGACAGCACGTTGGCTACATGCCGGTAGTTAAACCAGAATCTCGAGGCGTCCACCAACACCGCCCAGTTGTTCGTGTGCGTGGAGCGCTGAGCGGCGTCTACAAAGCCTTCTGGTAACACCGACGTGTCCTCAGCCTCCGCCCAACAGCTGACGAGAAGCACGGCAAGGATGACCGCAAATTTAAGAAACATCTTGTCACAAAATCCTAATCACCTCCTACTAATATTAGAGTTAGTATATTATTTTATTATAATATAAAGTTTTGTTACTCTGCAGATGAACAGCTGTTTCGATATCGATAGTCGATATCGATTAGCGGCAAATGAAACAGCTGTGTGATGCAGTATACCAATTCAAAAAATATACTATGTACTTACATATAAAATTTTCATTAAACATTTTTGAAATAATCTCTGTCTATAGCAGGAGAACGTATATAACTATATTATATGAGCTATTTATTTTATAATTATGGAGTAGAATTATGCCAAATCATAAATTGTCAACTCTTCGACAACTTGATTCTTGCAAAATCCAATTGGATTCTCAGAAATCAAATGAATTGACTATTGTGAACTGGTTGTGAACTACTTATCATAATCTAACTATTTTCTATATTTATTATCGCTTTTAACACTTTTTTTTTCAAAAATGCGCTTTGTGTTAATATAAATATTCAAATCTAGTACAATTCATGCTAATTTCGTTTAAATATACCGAAAAGTAAAATAATTATGAAGAAACGGTCACCCTGAGAGCAAAGCATGCCAGGCAGGGTGGTTGATAAGAGGGGGTGATGGCGAAGGGGCATGCCAATGTCTAATGGGTCAATTTTCCACCTTGATTTTTTCCTTCCTAAACCCACAAAACGCCACATTTCGAACATAAAATAGTTAGTACCTAACGAGTACGATTGAATGCAAGCCAGAAATGGTTTCTTTGGGGTTCTCCTATGAGTTAAAAAAGCATCAAAAAATGGCTCTGCCGCAAAAACCAATATGGCGGCCGTTCGAAACGAAAACGAATGACGCTGCAATGACGAAAAGAGGAGGCCAACGAAGAGCGAGGCAATGGCAAACAGCGAAAAATGTTTGCGTATGTGTGTGAGGGGCCATAAAAGCCTTGTTTGCGCGTGGAATTTAACTGTTTTTTCGCCGTCTGCTGGTTCGGGGGGTGGGGAGCACGTACACTCAACCGCACATCTGGGAAAATGGGGAAAATCGTGCCAAGACGACCACAAATACGAGGCTTCTGAAAACTCTGCGAATTCGCCGCGATCTCTTTCTCTCTTTTCGCTCTCTAGCACTCTCTGATTCACGTGGGTTTTCATATTCATATGTGTATGTTATGTGCGCTTCATTTTACTGTAGTTGTAGTAGTTTTTTTGTGGAGCTTTGGGGCTGCCGGAAGTTTTCTTTTTATCCACATATCGCTGATTGCGCTTTGCGCACTTCGCCTATCGCTGCTTCTGCTTTGCTGCGTGGCGTTTTCGTTTTGTCGGCCATTACGTTTTCCAATTGCCTTTGGCGCAGACACACACAAAACAAAAACACAAAGTGTGTCCGTCTGTGTGTGTGTTTCGGCATGTAAATGTGGAACCACACAGAAAAAACAACGTTTTCTAGGTGAAATTAATCGAGTGGGCGTGATGCAAAAGCATTTTCCCGGCCCAAAACAGGTTTAAGAATGGGGAAATGTGTCCAAACTAAGACAGGATCAAAGAAGAAAGGCCAAAAGTCCAATTAACTAGGATAATCGATTCAGGTAGCCTTTGTAACTACATATGTAGTTGATGATGTCAGTGGCGACGGAAATGAAAATCCTGGCCACTCACTTGACCCAGTTCGGAGAAATCGCTTTTCTAGCCCCTTAAAAAACGTTTGAATGAAAAACGAACAGCAGAACGATGCAAAAAGCTATTGATTTTCCCTCATTTCCGCAGCAATTAAGGCTTTTGCCTTTAACCCAGTTACTCGTAACCATAATGGTCCTTGGGCTGGTGGTTAATGGGTAAAATGTCTTGCGATATGTCTGTGTGGGTGTTATGCTAAGGACGCCACCTGACACTTGCAGGATTCTGATTTGGCCTCCTTTCACTGCCTTTTGTTAAAGAAAATGGGATAAGCATGCAACAACCTACGCCACAGAATCGAAAGTTAAGAAAAACTCGGAAAATCTCCAGGACAACAAAAAAAGAGTCGTGCGAAGCTGGCGCTCTCATTGTTTTCGCTTCTTCCCTTTTGCCAGTTGCCACCCCCGTTATGATATGTTATTCCCGAGTCCTTTTTGGCTTTTTGCCGACGCAACAAAAGACGCATCAGCAATAGCAGCAGCAGCAGCAACAACAACAACCGACGACGCGGCGAAAAGAGCGCACAAACATTTGGCAAAAACAACACGTACACCGGGAAAAAACCCACGTCGACCTGTGCAATGCTCTACAATGCTAACAGATCTTAATTTGGGAATGATTTTTATAATAGCGTTTTAAAAGTTTTAAAGCAATCAAATATATAAATCTACAAGAGAAATATATAATTATACTTATGTACATATTGCACACTCTATATTACTGAAAATTTCGTATAAAGTATTTTTATTTGGTTAAATTGAATAATTGTATATGCATATGTAAGCATAGTACTGGATTTAATTGAGTGCAAATGGTACACATGAATACAAAAAATGTGATTTGTTTACATAAATTGTTACTTTTATAAATTTATAGACCCATAAATACATATAAACATAATTCCCATTATTGAATATTGTTACGAAACAATTTATTTGATTGCAACATTTTTTGTTATTTTGAAATAAAAATTTGTGACTAGATTACATAGATAAATATACAATATAATTCATGTAATTGAGCACGGTGTTTAAAGTATTGGCATTATTAAAAAAAAAATATAATAATATGAAAATACTGATTTGATTAAACATTTATAGTATGTTGTATAGGTTCAAATTGGAGAAATTTTGTTGTACAAGTTATAACTTTAAAAATAAGCACATTTATGTAAAAAAAAATTGGTGCCTGTTTTTTAATGGAATATTTAAATTCGATTGCTCGAATTGTGTATTTAAAGATAGATAATAATTTAGAATATATTGTCACATATAAAAATAAATGGAGGCCCCATAAATTAATTTTGATAGAGGAAACGATTATATACCTATTGTGGGTAACTACCTGAATATTTGCAATATAACAGGTAAAATTAAACTATTTTTAAACCCTAATATCAACCTTAAATAGTATAACAGGGACAAGGGATAAATCCAGAGCGCGGGACAGACGCCCTTTCCCGTTACCCAGAAGCAGGGTTGTATTGAAGCACAAAAAAAAAGAAACCAAATGCAAACCGGGTGCGATAGTGCAGTATATCGGCCGACAAAGAGCCACGGCGAGAAGCGGCGAATTATCGTTTTTCGCCGTCAGACCGAGCGTCGCTCTTTTGCTCTCCATTTTGCCTCGTTATTTCGCTTCGCACCGTGTTTGCGTTCACAACTCTTGTTCGGGTTCTGCATTTTATTTTATTATTATTTTTTTTTTGTTTGTTGCTATTCGGTGAGTACCTGCGGAAGGGAAAGGAAAGCAAAGGAAAGGAAAGGGTTTTTCTCGCCCACTCGCTTGTTTGTGTTTGTGCAAAATGCTAAATGCTTGGTGAAAAGCTGCTCTCGTTGTACTGTCAAATAATAAAAGACAGGCATTCGTTTATTAGTGCTCGCGTTCGTATTTTTTGCGAAAACCTAGTGAAAAAGAAATTTTCTGTGCTCGCTGCTGCCTGCCTGAATCGGTGTGTGTGTGTGTGTGCGTGTGCGCTGTTGTGTCTGTGTGGGCTTGCTTTGGGTGTGCTTGTACGTCACTGCCACCCATTTTTGTGTGTGCCCCACTGTTCTGATTCCTCTTCTCGGCCAGTCTTAATTTCCCCCCTCTCCATCCCTCATTCAGTTTTTGTTGCAACTCTGCCGAAGACAGTTCAGTTTGCCAGTTTCCACGGATTTCCTTTTCGCCGAACGACAGTGTACGAAAACGGGCGATGTTGGCAACACTGCCAATTCTTTGGCAACTTTTCCGCTTTGTGAAAATTCTGCGGCCAGTTTCCGTTCGACTCCTCCGCTTCTGTCGTTTCGACCCGACCGTCAGTCCGTCCGTGTTTACGATCGCGGCGTTTTTGCACACTGTGCCGCGTGCGTGTGTGTGTGAGTAAGTGTTGTACATGCATATGCATGGCGGTGTGAGTTCTACTTGGTTGTGTATATACAAACACACATCGATACGGTTGCGAGGTCTTCATTTTGTTATTTGCCATTCTCTTTCACTTCCTTTATTCGTTTGTTTTGTTGTTGCCGCCGCTGTGACAGTTGTGCTTGAAGGTGTGCGTGTGTTCCTGTCCGTGTGACTTTTCCGCTTTTCTTCGCCGGTGCAAACTGCAATATTAAATCTCGCAGCGCTGCCCTCGCTCTGGTCACACTAAAATGGCGCCTGTCAAAGCCACTGGGATCATGAAACGAAGAAGAAGAGCACCAGAAGCAGAAGCATACCAAACGGCAGAAGCAGGATACTTAACCAATTTGAGGATTATTCAACATCCCATCAATTCTTTAGCTTCTCTTCTCGTCTCTCCGCTTCGCCCCGCTTTTGTTTCTTCTTCTGCCTGTGCTCTCTTCTCGTTTCGCTTTCCTCGTATTCTCGCTGCTCCCAGCTGCTGCCAAAACTTGTTTTCAGAATCAATTCGGAAACGGTGGAAGGAATCTGGAGAGAGGGGAAAGGGGGAAAAGGGGCTGGCAACCGCAAAAGCATGTTTAATGTTCTAGTCGCATTTTAGTGGACGGATTGGATTGTCCTGGAGATTAGCTGAAAGGGGCTATGAAAGCGGCCTGCGTTCGACTGGGTGAAAGTCAGGGCTATAAACGTTTACCAGATAGATATTTGCATGTAGTTTCGCTTTGGCTTAGATTAGGCTGTTAAAAATTAGCCCCCGACACGAGTCATATTCACATTTGTATTAAAAAGTCCTTTGGAAAACATTAAAATTTTCTTAATTGTCTTATAAGGTGATTTCCTTTGGCTTAGGCCAATAAACTAAGTCGGCTTACATTATTTTCTTATTTTTGTCTCAAATAAGATACACTAAATGTAGAATTTATTTAGTGATTTTAAAATGTATTTTCTCATATTATTAGTGTTCATAACGAAAACCCCAAATTATTTGCGAAATATTTTCCTGAATTTTCTTAAGTTTATTGTGGTGTTATAAATCAAACAAGAACACAACTATGAAGGTTTTCAACAAATAAATATATTTTCATTTATCGTTTCGGTTAAAGTGTTGTATAGTAGGAAGTTAAGAATAATGTATGGCTAATGAAAAGAATGGCAAAAGAAAAAATGGAGAACTTAACCTACTTCTGGGTTAAGCGTTTCGCTTTTGCTAAATGTAATATTGTTCCCACATGTTGGATTAGTAATATAACTTTTCCCTCCACATCCTTGCAGGTAATCCTTCACATCACAGTCAACCAATGGGACCAAATCACTGCGAATCGAACTGGACACAATCAGCATCGGATCGCAGGGAGCAACAGGAGGTGGTGGAGCAGCAGCAGCAGAATCAAAAGGCGGCGAAGGAGCGGCCAACATAGGAGCAGCAACGTCGGCAGCAGCTGCCCACGGCCCCCCTAGGATGTCTAGCCGGAAGCCGCCTGGAGGATTTGGAGGAGCTGATGAAGCCACAGCAGCAGCTGCTCCCCTAGATGACAATGCAAATGCCAGCGTAGAAATTCCGGTCAGCAGCGGGGAGCCAACAACGGGCGTCGTCGAAGAGCTGCCCGCCATTATCAAAACAGATACAACAACGTCGCCAGCGCACGCGATTGAGGAGTTAAAAGCAACACCAGATGTAGATGGTGAAAAGGATCAGGATGCCAAGGAGTCGAATCCAGGTCCCAAAACGCCTAGGTCGACACCTACCCCAACACTTACACGGGCCGTTACACCAAATGCCACTGATGGAGTGGCGGCTAAGAGCATGAGGGTTACACGGCACTCTTCGCCACTTCTTTTACTAAGCTCGCCTACAACCAGCAGGCGTGAGGTCGGCGACGGAGTGTTAGAAGCTGAGGAGCCGCCAACGGGATCGGGTGGCCAAAGGAAGAGCTCTGTGGAGCGAACCATGGCGCCCGTCATACGCGGACGCAAGTCCATTAAGGATCTAAAAGAAGCCAAAGAAGTCAAGTCCGAGGATGTGTCCGCAGTGGCATCAGACTTGGGAGCTGCAACAGCTACAACGCCTGGGCAGGTCAGTGAGGGCAACGAACTAGAATCCTTGCCGGCTACGGACAAAAAAGACCACAAAGATATAAAAGACAAGGAGGATGATCGAGAGAAAGATAAACAGAAGGATATTCAGGAGAATACAGAGAGAGAAAAAACTGCTGAAACTGAAACGATTGCAGAGAAAGGAAAGTCTGCTGAAAAAGAAAAAAATATAGAGAAGGAAAAAGCTTCAGACAAAGAAAAAGAAAAAGAAGCAGAGAAAGAAAAGTCTATCGAATCAAATAAAGATACGGATAAAGAGAAGGAAAAGGTCAAGGAAACGGTGACTCCAGTGTTGCCAATAGCGCCAGTGGCAACTACTAGCAACCGCGTCACTCGCAAGTCGCATGCGCAGGAGCAGGTGATCAACACGCGGGTCACGCGCAATCGTCGCCAATCCTCTACTGTTGGAGCCATTCCCTCATCCTCCGCGGCCTTGGTAACCACATCAGCCCCTCTTTCTGAGCAACCGCCCCCCGCTCGTGGGCGACGAAAGAAGACGGTGGCGGTAGCCCCACCAGTAGAGCCTGCGGTGAAAAGAAAGCGATCCCAAGATGCTGAAGCAGATTCGGAGGCCACCAGCACTGCAAAATACAGCAAGGTAGAGGTGGTAAAGACCGAGAGCATAGAGGCGCCAGATGAGGACTCCACTACTATGGACATAAAGCAAGAGCCTGTAGATGCCAGCGAGGTCAGCTCTATTTCTCCATCAATTACGCCCACGCCAACACCAACGCCAGCGCCTGCCCCAATCTCGGGCGGTAGGCGGGGACGTGGGCGCCCACAGAGCAAAAATTCCTCCTCGCCTGCTACCACCACTAGAGCCACTCGACTGAGCAAGGCGGGATCCCCGGGTATTCTGACGCCAGTTACCCAGGAACCAGTGCCACCGAAGCGGAGGAAGGTCGGCTCTAATACAAGGAAGACTGCCTCGGCCAGCTCGCTGGCACCCAGCTCGCAGGGCGGTGCCGGGGACGAGGACTCTAAGGATAGCATGGCATCGTCCATGGACGACCTGCTAATGGCTGCAGTGGACATTAAACAGGAGAAGCTGACGCCGGACTTCGACGATAGCCTGCTGCAAGAGAGCCTGCCTTCCACTTCTGGTACCTCGAGTGCCAACGGTCATTCCTGCATTGAACCGCTTACTGTGGATACAGAAACCATTATTAAGCCCGCTTGCACCGAAGTGAAACCAAAGGAGTCACCGGCGGCAACAGTCGAGGATTCGAAATCGCAATCCGAAACTCAATCTGCTGCGTCGTCTGCAGCAGAAGGAAAGGCTCCATCACTGAGTCCAGAGATGATAAGCGAGGGCGTGAGTGCGGTCAGTGTGCGGAAGTTTTACAAAAAGCCAGAGTTTCTGGAAAACAATCTGGGCATTGAAAAGGATCCGGAGTTGGGAGAGATCGTCCAGACGGTTAGCAGCAACAACACGGAAGCGAACGTTAAGCAGCATGTTGACGGCCCGGTGAATCAGGAGGAAAATTTCAAGCCGCAAATCGAAGTGTCCCATGAAAAGGAAGAGGGGCAGGATGAGGAGCATACATTTGAGCTGGAAAGGGGAAAGGAATCAGTTGATCGGCCAGAAACTATCGGTGAAGATCATTCTGAAATTCTAGCTGATGTTCCGGTTGAAATTCCAGCTGAAATTACGGTAAAAATTCTACCGGAAGCAGAAGGGGACTCATGCTCGAATAGCTCAGTGAAGGCAGGCGAGCTCCGTCTGGACGAGAGCACCGATGGTCCTGACCCTGTGTTGCTGCTAGATGATGGCCTCATAGTCAATGGTGTTGAGGCACCTGATCAACCAGAGGAAAAAGAGGATCAGGTGGCGTTCTTCCATTCGGAAGAGTACGATGACTTTGAACATGAGATTATGGAGGAGCTGACAAAAGAGGGGGTACTAGATGCTAGTGGCAATGCGCTAAGCCAAAAGGCAGAAATTGAACATACCGAGGATGTAACTCTTCCTGAATCGAAAACTGACGTAGATGAAACTCTGACTGCCGGCGACGAAACAGTGGAAAGTGATAATTTTAAGGACACTTCACCCGCTGACGAAATGGTGGCAATGGAGGTGGATGAATCCTATGTCGATATTAAACAACAGACAGACCAGCTCTTGGCGGAACACTTGGTAGAAGAGGCCACGGATACAGTCAGCAGTCCTGAGGACAATAAGGAGAACCTGTCCACATCTGCTGCCAGCACCGCAACCGATGGTCTGGATATCCAGCTGGCCCTCAAAGAAGATGATGACGAGGAGAAACCGCTTGCAGTGATAGCTGGGACACAAAAACCAGATTTGCTGTTGGCCAAGGAGATGAAGGTGGATGAGAAACAGAATGGCAAACAGGAAACAATTTGCGATGAGCAGTTGCAGCTGCAGGATAACCATCAACAAAACTTGCGCCAGGAGCAGGAAATTCATTTGCAGAACCTGGGCCTACTCACACACCAGGCTGCTGAACAAAGAAGAAAGTTTCTGCTCGAGGCACAGGCTCGCCAGGCCCAATTGCAGCATCAGCAACATCATCATAACCAGCACAAGCGTCAAGGAGCGCGGGGAGGAGGAAGTGCCACTCATGTGGAATCTAGCGGTACTTTGAAGACAGTCATAAAGCTGAACCGGAGCAGCAATGGAGGCGTGGGCGGCAGTGGAGGCCTCCCTACGGGGACAGTTATCCATGGCGGCAGTGGTTCCTCTTCAGCCTCTTCCACGTCCTCGTCCTCGGTAGGCAGCGCAACACGTAAATCAAGTGGTGCCTTGGCCTCAGGAGCGGGAGCAGGAGGTGGAGTCCGCCGGCAATCGCTCAAGATGACATTCCAGAAGGGTCGAGCTCGTGGCCACGGGACTACAGACCGATCCGCCGACCAGTATGGCGCTCACGCCGAGGATTCCTACTACACCATTCAGAACGAGGTTAGTGTGCTGCCTGTGGATTACTTCCCTGAACAGATTATTAACTTAAGTTTATTTTCCATCTTTTCATTTCAGAACGAAGGTGCGAAGAAGTTTATTGTAACCTCGGGTAATCCCGGCCGCAAGACCAATAACCGTTTCAGCTCGACTAACAACCACGCCTCCACGGTAGCCTTGCACGGTAACAACTCTGTGGTTCAGTACTGTGCGTATAGATCAGATCTGTCATTCCAAATCGAGTGCTCCAATTAGCCTATCTGGCTGCTTTCACTCTTAAAAATCAAACCGAACGTATGGAGCCGTTGCACCTCACTGTTAAATCTATTATATATTCTTTGCGAAAGTTTTATTTGATTTTACGCTAAAGCGTACAGCTTTTAGAAGCTTCCTTATCGGAAAAACTGTTCGGTTTGATTTCACCCTCATTCAATTTCTCCGTAAGAGAGTTATCATCTTCATTTAACGGCACTGTACATAAGGCACCGTCTCACCGACTCATCCTCATTAACCATTCCCATTCCCCACTGTACAGAAAAACATACAAACACACTGACTTAAGCTGGCTGATCGAAGAAGAATGTATTGTCCTAACTATCCATATTCTTCCTTAGATTCATCACACTCGGAGAGTCAGGGACAGGCAGACCACGGCTTCTACCAGATGGTTAAGAAGGACGAAAAAGAGAAGATACTTATTCCGGAGAAGGCCTCCTCGTTCAAGTTTCATCCGGGAAGGCTGTGCGAAGACCAGTGCTACTACTGCAGCGGAAAGTTCGGTCTCTATGATACGCCCTGCCATGTGGGTCAGATCAAGTCCGTGGAACGCCAACAAAAGATCCTAGCCAGTGAGTACAGTGCCCGGCTAAATAAATATTCTATTGAATATTTTGTGAAATTTAGCATTAACTTATTAATTTTGCTTGCTGATATCCCTTTCTACCCTCTCTGATTGTCGCTAGTTTCCTTATCAATTGCAGACGAAGAGAAGCTAACCGTCGATAACTGCCTGTGCGACGCCTGTTTCAGACACGTGGATCGCCGAGCGAATGCACCATCCTATAAAAAACGTCTGTCGGCTCCAGGGCACTTGGAAACGGGCGTAGGTGGATCAGCGGCGGCAGCTGCACTAGAGCACTTTGCCGGCGATGGTGGCGTCATTCAGGAGGGAACTGGAGAAGCAGGTTCAACAGCAACTGGTGCCGTTCAGCATCGTCCCTGTGCCGTAAAGACCTGTGACGAAGCGGCAGGACATTCGCTACGACGAAAGTGCATCCGCAAGAGCGTGAAAAAGTTCCAGCTTAGCCTTGAGATTCCCGCCGGCTCGTCGATCGTGTGGCTATGCGAGGTTCACTACAACACGATAATCCAATTTTCTGGCTGCGTACTCTGCAAGCGGAGGTTGGGCAAAAACCATATGTATAACATAACAACGGTGAGTCCACTGTTAGTTGCTCTGATCCAAGGAGTGTGCTAATTTATATATTTTAGCAGGACACGGATCGGCTGGAGAAGGCGCTGTCCGAGATGGGCATCCCAGTCCAGCTCGGTATGGGCACCGCCGTCTGTAAGCTGTGCCGCTACTTTGCCAACCTGTTGATGAAGCCCCCAGATAGTACGAAGTCCCAAAAGGCGGAATTCGTGAAGAATTACAGGAAGAGGTGAGGTTAAAATGGTTTTTCATCATATACATATTAATTTTATACACATTTCTTTCAATCAATAGGCTCCTTAAGGTGCATAATCTGCAGGATGGTAGTCACGAGGTATCGGAGGCGGATGAAGAAGAGGCACCCAATGTAACAGAGGCGGATAATGCGACCACTGAAGGCCAGGAGGATGCAGAGATGCCTATGGTCGTAGACTTTGATGGACCTACCGACTCCAATTCCAGTAACTCTTCAACTGCAGCTCTTGACACCAGCAAGCAAATGTCGAAGCTGCAGGCTATTTTGCAGCAGAATCTGGGAGCAGATGCTGCAGGAGCAGCGGGAGCCGGGGCAGCCGCTGGAACTGGTGCCGGAGGAAGCGGTTCAGGAGCAGACATCTCAAACGTGTTGCGCGGAAATCCAAACATCTCAATGCGGGAACTGTTCCACGGCGAGGAGGAGTTGGGCGTGCAATTCAAAGTGCCGTTTGGATGCAGCAGCAGTCAGCGAACGCCAGAGGGCTGGATACGGGTGCAGACTTTCCTTCAGTACGACGAGCCGACGCGCCGTCTCTGGGAGGAGCTTCAAAAGCCTTATGGCAACCAAAGCTCATTCCTGCGGCACTTAATACTACTGGAAAAGTATTACCGTAACGGTGATCTTGTACTGGCACCGCACGCCTCCTCCAATGCTTCCGTTTACACGGAAACGGTTCGCCAGCGTCTAAACTCCTTCGATCACGGTCACTGCGGAGGATTAGGCAGCACAGGCAGCTCTTCTTCAGGTTCCAACAAACGAAGCGGGATTCCACAGCCCGCCGGTGCTAGTGTGCTGGCCACCGCCCTCACAACTCCCATGTCTAGCCACTTGTCCTCAACATCTATATCAACGGAACAGCTTGCGCCAGCTGAACCTGTAATTCCGCTAGTCGAGCTCAACGATGATGATGAAGGCGAGAATGGGTCAGAAGGAGCGGGCGATGGAGAGTCGAATGCAAGGCAAGAGGAATCACTTTTGGACAGCCTTGGCACAGTCTCGGTGGACAAGTTGACCAAGCAGCTAAGCTCGAACGCGGTAACGATTATCGCCCGCCCTAAAGACAAATCGCAGGTCTCGTCTAACAGTGGATCCGCGACGTCCATTTCAAGCTCCTCGTCCGCGGTTTCGTCGCCAGAGGAAGTGGCTGTTACTAAGATTACCGCAGTCGCGCCCGCTCAATCCAAGGATGCCCCACCACTGGTGCCCGCAGGTGGCAATGTTGGCAACAGTCGCAGTATCCTGAAGACCAATCTTCTGGGTATGAGCAAGGCCGTGGAAATAGTGCCGTTGGCGCCCGCCTCCCACACATCCACATCCACATCATCCACTGCTGCATCTAAGAACTTCCTTACATCCATCGCCTCACTGGCGAACAAGTCAACGGCATGCCATATACCCGACAAGCAGCAAAAGATTCTCGAAGTGGCCAATAAGCTCCTCAGCAGCCAAGGGGAACCTGCTACCACCGCCTTGCTCAGTCTGCAGACAAAGCTGAAGCCTCCAATGCATCAGACACAAGCCGCGGGATCAGGAGCGGGAACTAGTGGTCCCCAGAAACCTGGTGTGGCCCAATTGCTAAGTTCTCCACCAGAGCTTATTAGCTTACACCGAAGGCGAACGAGCGGTGCAACAACGGCGACCAACAGCTTGCTTGGCAATCTTACGGGCAAAAGATTGCAACTTCCACGAACTGGAGCAGGGCCTTCAGCAGGAGCAGGAACGGGCACTGGAGCAGCAGGAAGCCGGGGCGCTGGGGGACAACCTCCGCCGAACGTGGTCATACTCCCGGATACCTTAACCGCGCAGGAGAGGCATGAAAGCAAAAGCTGGAAACCTACGCTGATTCCGCTGGAGGATCAGCACAAGGTACCAAACAAGTCGCATGCTCTCTACCAGACCGCCGACGGTCGTAGGCTACCTGCTCTTGTGCAGGTGCAGTCTGGTGGCAAGCCATACCTCATCTCCATCTTCGACTACAACCGTATGTGCATCTTGCGCAGGGAAAAACTGCTGCGAGACCAGATGCTGAAGGCCAACGCCAAGCAAAAGACGCAGAACCAGCAACAGCAGCAGGGCCAGACGCATCAACAACAGCAGAACTCCGCCGCGTCGGCTGCTGCTTTCTCGAACATGGTTAAGCTGGCTCAGCAACACACTGCCCGCCAACAGCTACAGCAGTTGCAGCAGAAGCAGCAGCAACAGCAACAACAACAATTGCCCACTTTGCAGCCAGGTGGAGCAGCAGGAGCGGGTATAAGACTTGCCCGGCTGGCACCTAAGCCAATGCCTCCGCTAACTAATCCGCAGATCGGCAGCCAGGCGCCCAACTTCCAGCCGTTGCTGACCAATCCAATGGACAACAGTAACAGCTCCTGGCTGTGGAAGAACTTTCCCGATCCCAATCAGTACCTGCTCAATGGAAATGGGGGAGGTGCTGCGAGTTCCGCTAGCAAGTTGCCTCATCTCACCGCCAAACCTGCCACCGCAACGAGTAGCGGTGCGTCTGTCAACAAATCGGCAGCAACAATGTTTACCCTCAAGCAGCAGCAACAACAGATGCATCAACAGAAGCTTATCGAGAATGCTATAATGTCGAAGATACCCAAAAGTCTGACAGTAATCCCACAACAGTTGGGCGGCAACACCGGTGGCGACTTGGGGGGCAGCAGCACCTCCGGCAAGGATTGATGACGGCGAAAGAGGCCGCCATGGCCAAGAGGAACAGCAGTGGCGGGTCCCCGGCGAAGCAGCAGGATCAATAAGCAGGCGGCCAGCAGCTTAAACGGCGAGTTTCCAAGCAAGAGGTGATTTGCGGCGACTCCATGGATATCACAAACTCCAAAATTGCATGGCTGAAGTAAAATAAGTGATAAATCTAAAAAAAAAAGAAACAAAACAAAATGGACGGACAGAGATGAAACAGATGAGGAATCAAGATAATTTTAGGATTACACAACGTTAACTGTGTGTAATCAAGATACGGTTACGAATACGATTATATTATAAGTTAAACCCACTAGTTAGGCACTTGAGCCGATACCACATATGCATCAAATGATAGAACAGTTTGAGATGAAGATGGAGATGTCGATTCGGAGCGAATGAGGATACGGAAATGGATAGATAGAGATACCGACACACCTTACTCTTAACTATGCTACTCTATTAATGTAGACTTACACTATATTTTTTTAATTAGATTTACGGGCATATTAACTTGCGATTCGTGTATTATAGATACCAAAATTGCTAGAGCTAAACGGTTTATAGATTTGTAAGTGACCCCAAAAAACACATAAACATACTGCTACACCAATACACTCACACCTACACACACACACACTACTTTAAGAGAGAATGCAGCACAAAAGTATAGTTAGTAGCCTAGGAGTTATGCTAACTCTTTACGATGCTGCTGATCCCAGGATCGGAAACGTAAGCCGTAAACCCTGGAGCCCCAGTTCTTGAAGGAATCCCAATCATCCCAGGAGCATTTTCAGCACACTAAACACACACACACTTAGCAGATATAAATTAAATATCGCACATAGAATACGATTCGTTTGACCGGATTCCTATTTCATAACCATTTTGTATTTAATTTATACATCTTTAAAGTTCGCCACCGACCCCCCACTCACTCACACTCAGATACAGATAATTATAAACCCTTAAACTGTAAATATTTTAATGGAAACAACAGATAAATACAAAAACTACAAAATACAAAACTTTAATGCTAATTCAACATCCTTCCTTCCCCATAAAACCTAAATCGAACCACAAACAATCTAATTGATCGATGTTATCTGTGCCTCTGGTGGCCTCTGTTCCATTCCAAGGAATTCTTAAATCATAGCTGCCTAAAGCAAAGCAAGGTCGTTGGTAGTGAGATGAAATTTGCAAATTTGAAATGACAAATTAAAAAGCTTTCTCGACAAATATACCAATAAAAATAAACTTAACACCCGCATATATATACACATACATCAACATATATGGATTTATATATATACACACACTATATAGATATTTTAGAGAGACGGCGAGAGATACAATTGTAAGTTAGTCCGTTAAGCATAGATATATTTATACACATATGAGAAATTCAATTGTTGTTGTTGAACATTGAAAATGTATTTATAAAGCGGAAATTGATTGATACCATACAAACCAAACAAGAAGCACTAGAGGATGGAAACTTTGGCCATGCCGAAGCTTATATACCCTTGCAGGTATTCAAATACAGTTGAAAAACCTTGAAAATTGTCCACAAAATACGACCATCTACTATCTCTTAACTACATAGTCTTCCGGTTTCCACACAACTTATAGGATCTCTCAATAACCATTATAAACGAAAAACCTCTCAAATTCCCTGTGATGTTGATGTAGCTGTAGCTTATAGCTGTCCGATTTAAAATGCTCTACAGATCTCCATATAATCATAATAGACAAGAAACTTCCCAAGTTCCTGTAGTTATCTTTCGATAGATAAGATAAGACATACATTTGATCTATGTATATAGCAAAGACCTCTGCAAGGGTATGCGAATTACAATGCTATGTCCTGTGTCGCTTCATTGGTGCGGATGCGAAACGTAGCTGGAGAGGAATAGAGCAGTTCACAGGACTACTCTTTGATGACCATGATGAACATAGATTGCCTTGATCGAACCTGGTTTTGTAAAACCGCATTAAAAATGGTGTGCCTGTGGGTGAATCAGCGTGTGAATGTGTGTGTTTGTACTGTGTTTATGTATTACTTTGTAGCTGATAGATTATTCGATCCAAACACATCTTACGATTACAACTTATTTATGCAATTATTTTTAAAAGATTACCAAGAATCAAAATTTCAACGAATCAAGAAATAAATTTTCCCATGTCCAGCTAAGAAATCCGTTGGTTTTATTTAATAACCCTTCAAACTGGGTCACCCCACAACTTACTGAAAAACTAAAGGAACTTGCTTTAACAAAACACAATATCACCAAGAAATCGCTTTATTCAGTTAGTTATCTGAAGTTGTGTATATAGGAATTGTAGTTTAAGTTTCCGGAAAATGTGAATATATTTGAGATAAGCGGAAACTGAAGACCGCAAATTGTCAAATAGCTAAGGTGATTGTGTGAATAAATGTATATTAGAACAATATTCTTTCTCTCTGTCTTCCTGTCTCGCCCGCTAGCCGTATTGCCATCTCTGTCTATCTGGTGGATTTTCAAGGTTTGTAAACGGAAGCGGAAGTAGGTCTCTAGTTTCCCCATTCTGTGTTTTGCTATCTCCCTCCCCCTCTATATATATATATATAAATATAACTCTTTTTAGTTACGAAAAAAGTATTCTTTGGAGATTTGTCGATTTCATTTGTTTTTAGTTTTTATGTATGGATTTTGTTTTTATTAACATAAATTTCAAAAATAATGTTTTTAGCGTTTTGTTGATGTTTTTGTTTTGTTTTGGACTTTGTTTTTAGAATTAGATTTAAATATTCGATATGCACTTGATGGTTGCCTTGCTGTTTTACAAATGTATTTAATGTATGTTTCATAATTTCATAATTTGTTTTTCTTTTTTTTTGTTGTATGTTTTGTATGTGTGGGTCGCATACATCGGCTCGAGACGGAAATTAATAAATATATTCATCCTCACATGATGCTCTGAAGTTCTTCTGCAGCTACCGTTACGAGTGTAGGTATAATAAATCTATGTTTATTAATATTATTATTATTAAAGTTTATCATTATTATATGATCTGGCTCTGCTCGGATCCGCCGACGTGCTCCGTCGGATGCGGGTGGTGCCTAAGCGCTCTTACAAGTCGGTCTCGCCGTAGAGAGCTGTGCTGAAGGACATGTAGTCCAGGGCGCCGGGCACTCCGTTGGGTCCCTTGTAGGGTGGCATGCGCTGGATGCAGTATTCGGCCTGGTCTGGCGGCAACTCGCGGCGCAGTTCGTCGGGCAAAATGTATGGCTAAAAGATGATTAAAAATTCAAATTATTAAAAATCCTTAAATCTGCCAGGAATAGTGGTAAACTCACCTTGTCGGCTGCCAGGATTCGGAAAGAGTCGATGACTTGTTCGGCAGTGTCGGTATCGGTGCTCTCGCGGGTCATAAAGTCGAGGAAGGCGTCGAAGTGCACGTAGCCAGTATTGTTGGGATCGACGACGGCGAGGATGCGTTGGAAGTCCAAATCACCCTGGCGGTCCTTGCCGATCGAATAGCCCAGCGAGACCAAGCACGACTTGAACTCCTCGGGCGACAAGCGGCCAGTGCGGTTCTTGTCAAAGTGGTTGAAGCTGCTTCGGAATTCGTTCAGCTGCTCCTGGCTAATGCCCTTAGAGTCGCGTGTGAGGATCTGGTTCTCCACTTCGTTGATGTTGCGGTTGATCGAGGTGAGCAGCTGCTCCCAGCCGACGCGCAGTGTCTCCATCGTGTAGTTGGTGTATCGGTTCTCGAAGATCATCGATTCCTGTACAGCCTGGTGGATCTTCTCCAGCTCTTCAATGTTCGGCTTGTAGGCGTAGACGGCCTGCTCGTACTCCTTGAGCCGGTGCAGTTGGTCTTCCAGCGATCCTTGCAGTCCCATGCCGATGGCCGTAACCGCATCCATTTGCCGTTCGATCCAGGGGCCGACAATGTTGGCCTTCTCGGCGAACTGGCGGCGCAGCATCTCGTTGTTTTGCTGCTTGCGCAGCTCGTTGGCCAGAGTCTGGTCGCGCTGGGGCACCAGCTGGCGGACGTCGCTCCACTTGCGTGTCATGTCGTTGGCGGTCAGGGTAGTGTAGGGGTTCTCCAGGCCGCCGGGGATCTGGTGCTGCTTCACAATCGACTCCACTTCGCGGACCAAGTTTACGATCAGATTGAACTCCTTGTCGGCCTCGCCCAGCGTCGCCTTGAACTGGTCGTGCGCCGTGATCAGGCCCTGGATCTCCTCCATGGTGTGCACGATAAACATGTCCACAAGATCCTCCCGAGTACCATCCAGCCAGTTGTTGAACGGCGCCGCCCGCTTTGCGAACTCCAAATGCAAGATGTCGATCTTCTCCAGGATGCGCTCGGCCTCGTCCAAAGCTGTGCGTCTGCGCTGGGTGAGAGCACCCAAGCGGTCCCATTGGTCACAGATGCGCTGGCACCTAGCGTTCACCGACACGCAATCATGGTACTCCAGGGTGCTGTATATAAAACATTCTGATTAATTTAAGTTCTCTAAGGGAACAGGATTCATGAGAGAGAAAATGGTCGGTGGTGAGCGCTGCAAGTGTGGACAGGATAGATGGTTTGATGACCTTTGTTTATCAGTGAAAACAGTGAAGGAAGATAATACCGAAGTCAAGTCGGTTAGACTCGGTGATTTACGATAACTAAGACTGAGTTAAATCCACCTGCTAATATCCTATATATTCTAACATTTCCTATTACTGGGTTATTGTTTTAAAAGTCTGGCATGGTTTGTGGATGCATGACTGAATGATCGAGGAGGTGAAGTTCTACCTAACCTCACGCTGATCGCAGATCAAGGATCACCATTGGCCATCGGTGGCAGCAGGCGGGGATAAATCGAGATTAACTAATGGGCTCGCTTGGGGCGGACACTTACTTCAGCTCCTGGGCGATGGCGGCGATCTGCTCCACGCGATCCTGGTGGGCAGCCAGATCAGACTCAAAGGCTTCATGCTTCTTCTTGAGGGCCTTCAGCTCGTTGAGCTTGCACTGACGGAAGTCTTGCGACTGCAGCATCTCCTCTTTGCCACGTGTCCAGTCCTCATGAGCATCGGCCTTTAGAAGGTATTTAAAGAATTAATAAAGGATGTTAATAGACAAACTGAATTACAAAGTCACCTTGTGCTTGAACTTCTGGGCCAAATGTTCGAGGCGCTCCAGGCGCATGGTCTCAGCCAACAGCCATTCTTCGAAGGCCTTCTCGGCCAGCTCCAGACCCTTCCACGAGTTGGAGATGTCGGACACGGTCTTGCCCTCGGTGGGCAGATAAGCGGGCCTGTTGGACAGGCGCAGCTTGGTCTGCAGCGTGTTGAAGTTGGTCTCCAGCTTGGCCTTCTGCTCCACGCGTGGTGGCTTGTGCTTGCGCCGGTAGGTGCGATACTCCTCCAGCTTCTTCTGCACGCCCGCCAACGAGTTATCGGCCTGACGAGAGTTCAGCCATGGCATGGTACGACGGATCCACTCCAGCAGCTGTGTCGATTAATAAGATATATATACTGGTCAATTTGAGATGAGAACTATAAAGCCGATTAAGTACTCACATCACTGGCCAGACGCTCGTACTCCTCCATGAGGCGTTCGTTCTCCTGGTTGACCTTGAGTACCTTGCAGATGCGGTTGGCAGCGGTTTCCGCCTGTCATGGTTGGGTGGGTGGAAAAGGTTGTTGCACATTAGAAGGCTTCAATCGTTTCGCTCTGAGTGTGCGTGTATGTGTGGGCACGGAACCAACTCAGATTTGGAAAAGCAAAAACAAGACGAACAGGAAACAGGAACAGGAACACTGGGCTCCGCGGCTCAGCTCAACTCAGCTCCATGCCACCGATCCGATTTGAACTGAACTGAACTGAACCGTGTGCCCTAAATATATATAGAAAACGTTGCAGAAAATCAAAGAAACGGAAGAAGCAACAAATTAAGAGGGCTAACAAATGCAATGGCTAAAGGAATCCAGAGTAGGACATTCGGTATCAGTTAAGCGGTCTAAGGATTAGGAGGCAC